GGGAAGCCCTCTAGCAAGAAAGGGAGCAAAAAGCTCCTCTCTGTCTTCACACTGGGCAGATAACAGAAGCCACCTACCTCTTCTTCATTACAGTGGTATCTTAGCATCTTAAATTCACTGATATGATTCTATGCTCATGATGCTCTTGCTGGAAAATCCCCATCTTACAGGTGAAGAAATTAAACCTCAGACTCCCAAGACTTAACATCATATCCTAGCTCCTAAACAGTCTGGCATCCTGGTGGACATGCATCTAATACCAATACCTGACCCTTCAAAACAATCATGTTTTGCTCTCATGCAGATGTTATCTGAAAGACATTTACTCATCTAAAACAGGATCCCTAACTAGGCCTATGTAGGGCTATTCTTCCATTACCCATAATGACATTGAGCCAGGTATTAAATTATACCTCAGAGACTTGTTCCCTAGTTTGCAGCTCTCCCCTAATACAAGACATGGTCTGCACAGGGCCCTTGTTGCCAGCAAAAACATTCTCTGCACAGTTTTGTTGGCAGAAGAAGAAAGAATCCACACATCATGGTTTACCTTTATGGAGAAAAGGACTGGAATTAATGATAGTAGAGTGGCTTCCTCAGTGGACACTTCTTCAGAGGCCACCAGTTAAAAAGTGACTATTGCTCCTGAACAGAGAAACCACTTGCGGAGCTCTTGCAGAGCAATTACTTTGTCACAGGGTAGAGCTCTCCATGTTTGCCTAAGGGAAGCACATCCCTTCCAACTGCTTCACCTCCCCTCCATCAGAAGGAATTGATGAAAGCTTAGGATGAGGAGGAGGAGAAATAAGGATAAAGTAATGGAGAAAGAAAGGGGCTGTGACATGCATTTCTGGCAGAGGAGCAAGGAACTGCTCATGGCAAGAAATAATATGTAAACAGAAGAAAACAAACACAAAAACACAAACATAACACCAGATTAACACAGAATGATTCTGTCCCCATGCAGTGCTGGTCGTGTGCTGAGCTGTGAGAGAGAGTTATGCCACTCGGCTTTCAAATCAGGCACCGAAAACCTCAGCTTTTGTACCTCATGGCCCAAAATTCAGTCCTAGACACAGTATGTTTTACACCTGATGCAAGACAAAAAAGCCCACTGAGAGGTGAACAGATGGAAAGAGATTCCTTAAAGTAGCTGTATTTCTTCACCCTAGAAGTACAGCCCCTCTGTACATGTACAGTGAGGAATGACCTCCTCTCCCCGCAACTACACCAAACACTTTCAGTGCATCCACCTACAAATGACACTGGCAGGCTCACTCTCACCCAAGCCTATGGCCACAAATCCTTTGCACTATGGCACTGCTACAAGCTACAGCTGCAGAACTGCGTGACTGTAGGGCACAGAGGGACTCTCCAGATAAACTTTCAGTGATGTAAACTCAGAGCAAAATTTGTTTGTCATGGAGGTAAGAAGGATCATAGGGAACAGTTTTAATCACCCTCTGCCAGAATGTGTTCCAAAACTCACTTTGCCACTGTGACAAACTCTATTCTTAAGGACATGATCAAAACATACAGAGCACTCTCAAATCTCAGTTTACAAAATCTTCTGCTCCGAATGAGATAGACTAGATTCAAGAATTCAGGAGCCTGAAACTCAGGGAAACTTGTTAGAAATTACTTTCCCCATAAACAAGACAGCTCTTCTTCAAAAGACTTAGGAACTCTAAGATATTATTTTAAGGCCACATTTGAAGTTTATTTCAAAGCACACATTCCACGTGGTTTTTAAGCCTGAATGTGTCTCCTATTAACAATTTGGGACCTTCAGCAGCTTTGGGGAGTTTTCTGTTTTATTTTAAGAAGCCTTTGCTTTTCACCTTTAACCACAGTTCATGTGCCCGCATCAACACGTAAGAAGATACCCTCAACCTTTTTGATTTATGTTTTTTCAATACATCAGCAAAGATTAAAGTGTGGCTAAGCCTCCCCTTTTATCTTGGCATAATTCATTTTTATACCATATCAACCTTCTCCAGGGCTGGATATTTACATGCTAACAATAAAGCCTACTTTTTAATTCCTCCCCCCATCCCTTTAGCTTCATGTATTAAAAAGTGTCGATAGATAAGACTTGGCTCTCAAATTAGTGGTGGTAGCAAAGCAGAGTTCAAATTATTCAATTAAAGCACAGAGACAGCTATGTTTACTGTCCTCCCACATTGGAGCTGAGCTGGGATTTCACTCACAGAAATTGCCCTGCTCTGATTCTGATGGAGGAGGAGTAGGTTTGATCATTTCCCCAAACCAGCTAAACCCATTTGGAAACAATGCTTTGAACACCTTAACTATTTCCTAGTTATTGACATTCCTATAAATGCTTTGTGAAGTGCAAAGAGACTGAGGATACAGCTCCATGGTTTCTTTAAGCCAATTTATGTGTGGGTTGCACTCAGAATGAACAAGCATGCTGTCTTCCACCCCATCATCTCTCCCCACTGTCCTCATTGTGTTGGAACTACTAGTCCTGCAGCTGCACAGCTAGCACGGCCAGGGAGACAATCCACCTACAAACTAATCCTCCACGCTTCTTTTTCCTGCCAGGTCATTTCCTACTGCACAGCTGCATAACCACTACTATTAGCAGAATGAAACGTGGTGGGAACACATGGTTGCAAGGTGGGAAGAGACCAGTCCTGACAGCAGCTAGCACTTCAGTCAGCTCACAGAAGGAATGAAACCATAGCATAAGAATCTGTTCATGCAGCTTTGACTACAAAGAATACATAGCCAAGCTAGCTTTAGACTGATGCATGTGAGTATTAGGGCAGAGACCTCAGGCCAGGCTGACCGCCCAGGATGTACCCATGTTCTTGGGTAGTTTTTATCCACAGAGAGAGGAAAAACATCAATACACAATTGCAATTCTTTCCAACTCTGCAAACGGCAGTGCTTCTCTTCTACAGGGCTTAAGCCAGCTCTCACCAACAGCCAAAACAGCCTTTACATTGACATTAATGGAACCAGATCAAATCTGCAGTATGTAAAATAGCAACAAACAGCAGCTGCTGTATTCCCCTCCCGTGCTGCTGTATTCCCCCCTGCACTGCCCTGCTCCCACATTCTCATGATTTCGTTCTATGTTTTTTTGATATCTCATAAAGCCCAAGTTCCTGGAATCGAATGTAAGAGTATCTGCCTTGTTTAAATGAAAGCCAAAATGTTATCCAATAGCTCTGCAGAGAAGTTTAGAGGTACAGAAGAAGAGCAGATTAATTAGGACAACACTGCCCCCATAAAGAAACAAACAAACAAAAAGAAATCCAACCCTACCTTTATGCCATCATCATGTGTTTGTTTTCAAAAACTTAGGATTTATAATTATTTATCTAATTATTATTCTAATACTTTAAAAAAGATGCTTGCTCTAGAACTATTCCAAGAGACTGACAAAACATGAACACTAACAAAGAAGCCAAATTTGCATTGATACCAGCAGTGCTGACAACACCATGCCCTAAAGGAGGTGGCTGTTGCTGGAACGTGTACCATTTGTCATGACTGAATGTCTCCTTTCAGATAGCAAAGCTGTAAAATACACACTATAAAGTCCACTACAAATGGCCACAGAAATACCACCTCCGAGATTCTGACACCTCTGATGGAGGAACTGCAGGGACCGGCAGTGAGCTCAGAGTCTAAAAGACCCTTCACTGTGGGCTGGACTTGAGAAGGAAAGCAAAACAAGCACACACTCATGTTTGAGGAAAAATCATGGTAGATCAGTTTCTACTAGTGAAAAGGGCTTGTTCCTCCCACAGCACAACAGCATCACACAGAGCCTCAGAATCAAGTACAAGCTGCCTTTTGTACATATACCCTTTCTGCTAAATGAAAGAAGGACCTAGGAAAAAATTACATCAGCAGTAGAGATTGTATCTCCTCCAGACAAACCAAATGCTGCTACACAGAGACTCAAAATCATAAGAGTCACTCAAAAGAAAACAAACAAACAAACAAAAAAACCAAAACCAAATAAAACCCACCAAGACGAAAGTTATTAACAAACAGTGGGTCTTAGTGACCTTGTGGTATTTGAGCCTCCCTCAATTGCATCAATGTCACTTTTTCCTCCCCTAGATCCAGGAAAACTAGTAACTTCATTTCAGCAAAAGTAATTGCATTACCTAACCCTTATCTGGCACTTTTTAATCTGTATCTCTCAAAAGAGGTCGATATCACTATCTGCATATGATAACACTATTTGCATAAACTTCATCAGTAGCACACACAAGTCACTTCAAAGTATAGAGTTGTCCAGTACAAAGCCAGTAGCTGCTGTCACCAACAGTGAACCGAGAAGAAAACACCCGTGAACCCTGTACTAAAGCACAAAACCACCTCCTATCTAATCTACTGACTTGAGAATTTGAAGATTGTGGTATAATATCAACACTGAGAGTCTGGATTTTTTGTTCATTTTAACTACAGGAATTGTCAACAGCTGTATTACCTTACAAGTGTTCGTTCACTCAGCCTGACCCTGTTGTTCTTCCTCAGGCTACACCCCCACTGAAGCCAGTGGAAGCTTTGACTTCTCAACTGGGCCCTACATTAGCTGGATGAAAAGTTCTGCTGCCTCTGGCTGTACAGAGGTTAAAGATAGGCATCTGCCCTTGTGGTAGAAAATTGAGATAACTGGACACACTCCTTTATGTCCATAAGGATAAGAAAGGTCCACAGAAGAGTTGATAATTAGCTGTAAATAACAGAGTATTGACAATAGTGATATGATTATTATTGCCACCCATTTCTGAGTCAGTTATACAGTTTGGATGTGCCCTCCCCTCCCATTCCCTTCCATCCCCTGGCAAAAAAAATCAACCCAATCCCCTTGCTGCAAAACACTTCAGACAATCAAGAGCTTATCTAGGCATCTCTGTGATTTTACAGTGTTACACGTATCCTAGTATCACAAGAATATGTTTTACCTTGAGGCAAATGTTTTAATTTATGTGCATGTGAGCTATTTGCAATACCTCCACCAAATGGAGCCCATATAACCCGTCGGATGGCTTTCACCCAATCTTCCATTTCATTCTGGGAATTAGCCATGAGCAGGAAAGCCTCATGATTGACAGGTATCTTTTCCCGGTCCCCCGCACCACCTGAAAGACAGAATACAAATCTCTTTTAGCATCTAGTTCAGAAGAGAGCAACCAATGTTTAAAACCACCAAAAGTCTGGGTCAAAATGATGAAATGATTATTTTAATTGAGCAGTTTTACACACAATTCCTACTCATGTGCTGCAGCACCCACAAAGCACAGGTTGGTAGAAGATCAAAGCAGAAATGCAAAATGTGCATTTCCAGTGTGGGAACCTGGAAATTGGTTATTGCTGGGACAGCAGGTACAACAAGTGAAAGCGCAGGCTGTAGGACCCTACAGGAAGAGTATGAAATGAATTCCACGTACCTGTGCTGAGGTATTGAGAGATTATTACCCCAAAGGGGGACCAAGTGAATCATAAGACATTTTAGTGCTTGAGATGCAGAAGTTGCAAGATCATCATCCACTTTCCACAAGTCCCTGGCAATTTCTAGTCTCAATACAGAAAGAGACCCATTCTGATATTGGATCCAATTCAGAAGGAACATTTTGAAGAGGAGTTAAGACTTGGGGATATGAATCTGACTCTCCCACTTGAAATAAGAACTTTAGGAGCTGTTAACATTGGCACGCAATATCTCAGGAAAGTAGTGACCAGAATATCAAATGCATAGAATATCCAATGCGCTCAAGCTGTCATACACATCTGTCACTTGTGGATACTCCAAGACTTACATTTTCAACCTTCTTTTCCCATTTTCTTTGTAGGTCAGCACCCACTTCAGTCAGTTTAAATCTTTCCCTCGTCCCTCATTTTATGTTCCAAAGCCAGATACAACCTAATGAGGACTGCATAAACACATAAAAGCTTTATTGGAGCAGCCTCTGTATAAAAAGGCTACTGATCCTGTCCGACACAGCAGCTGCATCACTAGCGCCCTGGAGCTTCTCCATCACCATGGAAACTGCCTTTGGCTTTGCTACGGAGATAACATCTTAGCCGTTGTGTCACTGTCATTTCCACGCTTACATGGCTTTCAGTACTTACTGGCAAGCTAAAGCTGCCAGCCAGTGCTGAGCAGCTGAGATTGCCTGTCCATGGAATTCAGAGATAAGAGTGGGACGATGGTATGCTGTGGTTTCTGCAGAACTGATTTAGAGTACACAGAATGTGTGCCTCCTAAATCCTTGCTAATCTGTGGAAAGGAGCAAGCTGGAAGCTGCCTGCAAGCCAAGGAAGTACTTTTACTTACTATTAATTGTTTCCTGGCCTAGACACACTTATGGATCATACACTGATTTGCAAAGCAAAACAGGTAAAATGAGATGTGTTGGGAAGGATTTTGTGGCTCTCTGAGATACAATTCACTGAACTCAGAAACTGAGGCAGTCTTTCAGTAAAGAAGAGAGATCACAGCCACCTGAGACTAGGCATGCAGCTTAAGAAACAAAAGCCACGATGCTTTTTCCCCACATGTATCCAAATTCTGCTTCTTTCCTCATAGCATCCTCTCAGACAGTCTCCCATTTTTAATTTACTGAATGATTCACATTCTTTAAGATGTATGAAGCAGGACAGCTCTCTAGCTCAAGGCTAGGATGCAGGCATCTGAATAGAACAAAGCTCTACCATACTCCACTGCAAGGAGGACATACTTCATCCTTTACATACAGAACTGTCAGAGCAGGAAATTACAGTCTGTGAAACTCCTTGTCACAGCCTAATTCTTTTCCCAACATAGTCAGCCTTATGGTGAAAGCAGAGGTCACGAGGTCTAATTCTTGTACCTTACCTGGCAGACGTATTGCCATGCCCTTTCATATCTTACAGGAGATACGACAGCAAGAAAGGGGCTTTTCATAGTCCTCCACACACATCAGAAACAGCGGTTCAGGATCTGGCACATAGATGGCCTGAGCTCAAGCTAGCTCTTCAAAGGAACAAAACAGTCTCAAAAAAAAAAAAAAAAATCTACTGTGTGGGTCACATCACCAGTAATCAACTGAGCTTGGTCAAGGTAAAACCAAGATCCTGTTCTTAAATTTAAGGCACCCAGCTGAGTTCTTGCCCACCCAAGCCATGAAGGACAAGACCAGAATCTTAGCTTAGAATTAATTACAGACTGCAAATTTAGTCAGAACAGCTAAACTAACCCATCCAAAGATTACCATATGAAGCATAATAAACAGAGAAGGATGAAGATGACTTCTTATTGGACTTCTGCAGAAATGGTGTCTCAGCATCTTCCCACTGAATCGCTGTACCACAGGGACTTGTCTATAACTCCCCTTCCCTTAAGATGTTACTTTGGACCAGCCAGCTGCCTTCTAAACCTTCATGGGCCTTTTTCACGCAAGCATTTAGGGAAAAAACATTTATATTTCTATTTGAGTATGTAAAAAGTAAAAACAGGATGGGGGAAAAAAAAGTATTCCTGTACATGCTAGAGACTCTGCCAAAACCTACATACAGCTCCTCCGTGGTTGGCTTTCCCCACTGAAACTTTAAATAGGAGCAAGGTCATGACCCTACAAGCTGCCTGTGGGAGAGTTAGTAGTAACTAGTCACATAAGTACAAGCAAATGAAGACAACTCCATGCATGGAGGCTAGTTTAGAAACAAGAATGCACTTCAGAATTGCTTCTTAGAGAAAGCCTCCTGTGTTAGCTTGACACAAATATGCAGTGGCAGAGCATGCAGACCCACTTATAAACTAATTTTTTTTTTTTTTAAATAACATTTTAATCATGTTCCTTTCCACACATGGCTGGTTCCTTTCACTACATGCTTGAGGCAACAAGCAGAACTAGAGTTCCCTAAAGGGCAGAGTTCAGACATGTCTCTACGTTGCTGTAACATTCAACAGGTTTTGAGTCTCACTAGTCACAAGAATGAGAAACAGCCAAATTCAAATACGTATTTGTTCTTAAAAAAAACAAGGAAACAATGCCACATACACCTTCTTCAGAAGTCCAGAATTTTACCTGAAGTTCACAGATGCTTTCCTTTTCTGGGCTCAACCCCAGACCAGGATCTTGTTATGGGTTTCGGATTTGAGTTGGCAACACAAACACTGTATCAATTCAAACACCCTAGTCTTTAGGAATTGTTTCAGGAAAACGATTTTAAACCTTCCTGCCTAGAAACACTTGGATATGGAGTTTTAGTTTTGCCTCTCACAGCAATATGAAGCGAGCATTCAGATACTGCATTCAGACATCATTTCTACCACTAACAGAGCTCCAGCCCTTACTACGGTTGCCGTTAGACTCTAACCCCGAAGCGCACAAGCGCTACTTCTGCTGGACGAATCAGAGCTCTGGCTACTCAGCACCATGACAGCGAGGAACACTCTGCTAACAATTTCAAACACAGACAAGGGCTTTTCATTCCCTTGAACAGAACTTCTCACTCATCTTTAATCGAGCTCCTATACAAGCAAGACTGGCCCTCAGAGACAAACTCTGCGTAGCTCAGGATTGCCACAGGCAGACATTCCAGTCCTTCTGCTCAAAGCTGCTTTCATCTCCACACCAGAAAAAAAATAAAACTGTCTGCAAACACAGAGTGCAAGCACCTCAGTAGATGTGGCAGAAGCAGGGGGCTTAAGTTTGGGGATGAACAGTCCACCTGCTTCAGCGTTAACTTATGACCAGGGCATCCTGCATTCAATCACCTGCTCTGGGGCAGATTTCCAGTGCACATTGGACAAGATGCACTAAATTCCATCCCTATCCATAAAGCAAGTTGGCAGCACTACTTGCCTCCCTCCCAGGTGCACAGAAACTGAACAACTTCAAGACCAGGAAAGGTGATGGCAACCATACAGGTACCTCCAGTAAATGTAACAGCCTAGAAAGATTAAGGGACTTGTTTTGTTACTGCTTACCATCAGACGGGCTGCAGGTCCCAGCTGACTTTAGTGCTTTGCCACCCCTGTCTCAAGGTATCTTTGTCAAGTTGCTTTACATACACTGGTAGGTATCTTTGCCTGAAGCAAACAGCATAGCTGCAGGCCCCTAGCTGCATTGCATGAATGCTCTCTCTGCCAGGCCCAGACTAGTTAAAGCTAGCAGAATTGCTCTCATATGCTGTCTGCTTATGTGGTTTGTGCAACTGCATTTCATATGGCCTTGGAGCCATCTGCTGCTGATGTCAGCTGTATAGCGTTCACCTCAGAGTAACATGCCACCTCCTAATCCTTAATAACAGTCCTCCTTTTAGCTCTCCCCTATGCCTTACAACAGGGAAGATTAAATACTGAAAGACTGGGGTTAAGTGACTTGCTGAAGGTCAGATGGAGTGTTGCGACAGCAGCAAGAATCACAATCCACATTTCAAAGCCCTCTTTACTGAAAATTCTTCCTTTTTGACCATCCTTAGTCTGGTATGCGTTCACTGGAAATTGCAAAACATAAGGCTGCCATTATGCTGTATTTACGTGTCTTGCGCTGTGTTCCTGCTCAAAGAATCTGTAACAGACATTCAGTTGCATCTCGTCCTTTATACAGCTGTTTCCAATGAGGAAACATGGCAATTTTTTGTTTGCCTTGAACTTCATTCACTCAAGCTTAGCCTTCTTAATATCAACATTTGTGAAACCAAGCCTTAGATCCCCTTTGTCTGTATGGAAACAGAAGTTCAGGGGGAACACGACTGGACTTCCTAACAGGAGATGTTCCTGCCCCATTGCATGTAAAAGGAGGAACTTTTCTATTCTCAAGTAAAGCTGCTGTCAGGTTCTGCTGCAGTTGGCAGCTTCTTTTTTTGTTCAGACCATTTCCCTTCCTTCCACCCCCCCATCTGGTTTGCCTTTCACCCATTTCTTGCATCATTCTGCTTACTGATGTACTTGTGTATTGTCATTGTATCAACTCTACTGAAAATTTACACAATTACAAATGCTTGCATGTGTGTATATATTTACATGTTTGTATTGCTTTGGTGTGGATAGTAGCGCGGTATTTTCAGTAAGAGTGAAATTTAGTTGGCCATGTGCATGCTGCTGCAGCAAGTGGGGAGGCAAACGGCAGTTCAAGGCTGAATTATGAAAGGG